AAGAGTCTGCCAGCAAAGATGGAGTACCCATTTTCAAACGCGAAAACATTCCGCACATAAGGATCTTGCCATCGTACAGTTCTCGCTGTCGCAGATGTGAATCATTGCAATTCTGCTGCATCTTTATCCGTCAATACGACAGTTGAGCGAGAAATAAAATCAAAGCGCAGGGGTTATGCATCACACATTTTAAAGGCCCAGCATCAGATGTAACATAAAGGCGAGTGAAAACTCATGGCACAGGCGCCAACAATTATTATTCGTTGTTAACGGTCATTTCCGCATTGTATTAGATTCCAACTGCATTTCACGCTCGCGCATCCATGACAGACCCGGTGTCGGCCTCTTTTAGCGAAAAGGAATGGGCATCGAAAATCGCAAAAACGACGACGACGAGTGCACATCAAATGTTTTTGCAACCCTTGTAGCAACACGTCAAGGCGTCGTGCACCCCTTTTAGCGAAACGTCAAGGCTTCGTGCACCCTTTTTAGTGATATGCACCCCTTTTAGCGGAAATTGCAAAAAGCTAAAAGCAAAAGTCGGAAGACGTGAGGAGGCGTTGTAAGCCAGTTAAAGATTCCATAGAGCAAACCTGGAGACTACATCACACACACTTTTAACGAAATGTGTATTCTTGAACTACGAATCAATTCGCACATGCTATCGCGCAGTGCATCGTCGGAAAAGGTGAGGAGGCGCTTTAAAACACCACTCCCTCCGATAGCAGCAAATAGCCCCCCCCCCTCCCGGTGAGTTCCGGCGTGCTCTTAGGGAGGGCGACGACCAGAGGCCGAAACGGCGGCCCCAGTCTCGCAATTTGACAGCGGCAACTTTGACGGTTTTTTACACTTAGAAGAATTCACAAACAATTATGAAAATTCGGGGTTTCGTAGATTTGCTCGTGGTACTTCAAGGGAGAATATCAAAAATATTTAAAAAAATGATTTTGACCTCGAAATGACCGCCGCACAGATTTGGGGCACGTTCAAGTTCCGCTACAATGCCATATTTGCGGGCCAACCGAGAAAGTTGTACAACTTCTGCAGTTTTTCTCGCTCCGAAGACTGCGTCACACACCCCCAAAATTTGAGGGTCATTAGATTTGCTCGTAATCTTTTCATTGAAATTTAAAAAAAATATATGAAAATCATTCAGACCACGAAGTAAATCGTGGACACGATATGACATATTTTTAATCCTGCCCTACTAGCGGTGCTCCAGTCTGTACCACGGGCAGCCCTAATGAACCTGTGCTACTGTTTTCTTGACGTCGGACGGAGTGGTGGTTTAAGCGGGGTAGAAATGAATGCCAGCAAAGATGGAGGAGCCAATTTCAGTATTGGCAAGACATGACACAAATGACGATGTTTTTCACGATGCATCCATTTTTTTCGATAAGACAGAAGGTAATCATTTCGACAAAATATCATTTTTTGCGAACTTGCATAAATGATTAGTCTTCCGGTGACAATTCAGAAGGTAACAATTTTGGGCAATCATCCATTTTGCCGAATGCCGCATATCGATCCTTGAGCGACAAACAAAGTCGAAGCACAGGGGTCAAGCACACATACATTATGGCGATAACACAGTTAATGATCATTTCTGGTGAACTCGCAGCTGTGAACAAATTTCTGGTGACAACACAGAAGGTAATCATTCTTGAAAATTTGTAGATATGAACGGTCTTATCACAAATGTATGGCTTCTAAATTACGAATATGTTCGCATTTGTCATACGGAAGCAACAGTCAGCATTCAGTGGAGACTACGACATGAATTCTAGCGATAACAAAATCGGTGATCATTTACTGTACCACTAAATTTTGTGGAGTCCATAAAACAAAGTCAAACACACATATATTCTGGCGATAATTGATTTTCAAATTACGAATAAGTTCGCAATTGTCACATGGAAGCAACAGTCAGCATTCACTGGAGACAAGAAGGAGGGTGGTTGCGGGGAGGAGGGCACCGCAGAGTGGGTGGACCGAAAAAATGGGGTGGTACGCGGAGAGGGGGGGTGGGGGTTGGGGGGCGGGGGGAGGGGGGGTTTCAGACCGTAAAGTCTCGTGTAAGAAAGAGACAAGCACGAAACAATATAGCGACCAAGAAGTAATCTTTGATATTTTTCACCAACGTCTTGGTAAATGAACTCTGAGATAAGCACGAAACAATTTTGCGACCAAAGAGACAGTACTGATGTCTTTCACCAACATCTTCTAAATGAAGCAGAGTATCTAGTCCTACGAGCATGAGTATAAACAATGTCCACAAGGGGACAAAGATTTCCCATGAGTAATTGACTTACCGTGAGGGCACGGGTGCGCAGCCCGTAGTTCGTTTGTTTGTGTGGTTTGGGAAGGGTAAGGTATTGATTATGCTATATGTATGTTTTGTCATGTTCGCTATACACAACCCGAAGAGTGTGCGTGTGTGTGGTGTCGGTTGGTGCTTTATTCACGATGTTCATGAGACGTTGGACCTAGTTTCCAGCAGGTGGCGCTCCCCATCAATAGACATGAGAATGTATATGCGTGTGTATGTGAGTGTGTGTATCTGTGTGTGTGTGTGTGAGAGAGAGAGAGAGAGAGAGAGAGAGAGTGTGTGTGAGTGTGCGTGTGCTTGCGTGTGTGTGTGTGTGTGTGTGAGTGTGTGTGTGTGTGTGTGTGTGTGAGAGAGAGAGAGAGAGAGAGAGAGAGCCCTGCAGCATGCAGCATGTTAGTGGCGGGGAGCAAGAGGGCAGGCGCTGACCTCCAACAAAAAGAAAAAGTTATTTTATCGGAATACAAGAGTTTTTTCTTTTCGAAATCTAAATAGAAAGGGTACAGGTTGTATTCGAATACAACCTGTACATTTGCTATTCGAGGAAACTGTGGTATTCGAGAAAAGTGCACCCGCACCGTTTCAATTTCGAAAAGGCTTAGGGACGGCAGCCCCATCAGCCTCCTCCGCGCAGCTACCGGTCCTACGTGGTCCTGACCCTTGCAAGGCCCCAAAAACTCAAAATGCCCACCCTCCCGACGACCACCGGCGTTGAAATTTTGATTGACGTTGAAATGTCTCAGGGGAGAAAACGCAACCCTGACGGGCTACAAACACAGGAGCACAACCTGGAAACGAATAAAGGCAGCACGACGCTGCCGCGGTCGTACAGGAAATAAGGAGAATAACCCAAAAACAAACAAAGGCAGCACGAAGGTAGGATATTCACATCCGATATCTAAGTGTCTACTTAAAAGATACTACATCACGTGGCTAGGATATTCATATCGATATCTAATGTCTACTTCACCTAAGCGTCCGCTGCAACCCTCTAACTGATGTTGGGCGGCAAGGAATGAGAATAACCTGAAAACAAACGAAGGCAACACGGCGCTGGCGGGGTCCTAACAAACAGGGTGCACGAGGCCACGCCATTTGCATCGGAAAAACTAAAAAACCAAGAAAGTCAAAGAAAGTCCTACGTCTAAAGTTGCAAGGTTCGTCGAAATGAAGAACCCTAAAAAAATACCGCAGCATGAGGCTGGGATATTCACGTCGACATCTAAGTGTGCAGTTGATAGACCCGTCCTCTGCAATCCTCTGCCTCATCAAAAAAACACCACAGCTCAAGCCAGCCGACTGCTAGACTAAGTGGGAATAAATTCGCACTTTTGTTTATGGCCTTGCGAATAAAAAACGTTGCAAATTTTTAAAATAGGGATATTATTCTGAGCCCTGGATTATGTTCACCGCCATCGTCAGCCTGATGTTCGGAATGTCGCTTTGGCCTATCGGAAATGGAGGTGAATGACCTCGTGCCAGGAAGGAAGCGACGACGAGCATAAAAACACCGTAGCTCGACCCGTCCGATTGTTGAGGGACACCATGAACAACCACCTTTGGCTCCGGCAAATCCAGTTTCGTGTGTCGACCAAATTGACGAACTGCTGCGTCACAAAGGTATTTCGTGAAGTTCGCAAGCACACCGGAAGAAAAACCGTCATCGTCTTGCAGGAGGGAGTCATCGTACTGCAGCCCTCCTTCGCGAACGCATAATAGGATCCAGTTACCAGTACACTCGATCTTTATGAACAGGAATGATTAGCATATCGTACGCAAAAATTTTCACATCTTTCGTCCATCTCGCAACCCTATCATGTTGACATCCCTCATCGACGAGCGTCATATAGAAAAATGGACTGAAAATATAAACAGAGGGACACCCCGGCAACGTAGTATTGCCAACCAAGGCCAAGTAGGACTCCACCACCTCTTCGCAAAGCCACCCCCCCTGAACAAGAGTCTGAAGATTTTTTCTGCTCAACACAATAGAACTGGTCTCTTTGCGAATTGAGGAAACCACCTCGTGGCCGTTGCTGAAATCCCCACAGTAATACGCAACATTCTCAAGTCTGCACCGCTAAGCTCCTCAGTAGGCAACGACATGCGAAAAGATGGTGTAGCCGCAGCTGCACAAACACCCAAGAACAAGTGTGAGGAGCCGCCAAAACCACCGGCGCGAACTGGTCAAGAACTGTGTGCCCTTTTTCTATAAAATTTATAACCCCGACTGCTGAATGTGTCTTTGGCGATGTACTTAGGATACGGGTTTTTGATGGTACCCCGTCTGGCGTCGTCATCAAACCCATAAGACAAAGCAATAATGCTTTCGATAGACGCAGCCACATGTTTCCGCAAAGCTTCCTCCTTATCTATTCTACAAGCCTTCAGAACCCTGACAACTCTCCCGGAAAGGCGAGGCATTTGGACCTTTTTAAGCAACCCTACAGTTGACGAGGACTTCTTCGGTGAAACGACCAATGACCTTCCTGAAAAAAAGAATTTTCGCGCATGGCTTGCGAAGGCTTCATGGGCAGGGACATTGACAACCTCACACTTGTAGAACATAGAAAACAACCCATAACCCACAAGCTTTTGTTTCAGAAGTGGTGGATGAGCCCATCAATTTAATGTGGATGACCACACAGCTGAACATGGACAGATGCGCGAGTGCTACTGTTCACAAATCGTACCGTGCTCGGGAGTCCGCTAAGGGCAACCGGCCTCCTGTCGCGCCACTGTGCCGACGTCCGTGGAGGATTCGATGTTCTGCATCTCGACCACTGTTGAGTCGCTAACCAGCTCGATGGCAGCTGAGTCGCTAACCAACTCCGTGGCTTCAGGAAGCACCATTTCCCGACCGGAACTGAGGGCAGATGCTCGATCACCTTGCTCGTCATCACAGCTGGTGGACTGAGAATCATGATCTGTTTGCTTTGAACCCATCTGACGAGCCGACACCTCACTGGCATGAAGCCCAACCGACACCTCACCAGCATAAAGTTGAGCTTCCCCTACGGTTTCTTCGCTTGCCTCATCGTCATGAAGCCGAGCCGACACCTCACCACCAAAAAGCTTAGCTTCCCCCACGGGTTCTTCGCTTTTCTCATCGTCATGAAGCCGAGTTTCCACCACGGGTTCTTCTTCGCGCTCCTCATCGCCACGAAGACGAGCTTCCCCAAGCGTCCATGCACGTCCTTCCCGCCCACGGTCTTTGCCTTCCACAAACATCCCATGACCTCCCTTAACGTCACCGTCTTGCGCCGTAAGTGGCGACCCCCTGTGCAAAACCAAATCAGTGTCCCCGATGTTGATGGCATTTCCCGACGAGCCTTGGAGAAGTTATTCATCCCGCTCCACACTATGCGTCTCCTCCAAAGCGTGACCTTCGCACTCGCTAGCCTTTGTCTCCAACACTCCTACAGCGGGCCCCTGAACAGACGCCGCCGCACGCTGTAAACGTCCACCCTCTTCGAAGAGGTGCAGGAGCAAGGTGTCGTCTTGAACAGGACAAGCGTGCTGCGTACTGCGGCAAGGAATGTCCTCAACGTTATGAAACAAAGTCCTCACAGACAATTGCGAATCTACTCGCACTTCATAAGACCCAGGGCGGCCTCGTCTCGCGTGTTGGAATCTCGACTCCCTTCACAGTGGTTTTCACCTCCGCCCGACCCAACATCCCGCAGCAGAGGATGCGCTTCCTGTTAGAGGTCCTCTTCCCCCAAAGCTGCTGCACTCTTGCTCTCAACATCGACGGACGTGCCCTCCGAAGCATGACACTGATGCTCGCTAGCATTGGTTTCAAACGCTCCTGCATCGAGCCCCTCCCGCACTTCGTTAGGCGGCCAATGTTGAGTTTCCTCTTCTCGCTGCACAGCATGCGCTTCCTGTGAGAGCTCCCCTTCCCCCGAAGGTGGTGTACTCTTGCTCTCCAAGTCGACGGACGCACGCTCCGAAGGATGAGGTAGATGCCCGCTAGCCCCGGTCTTAAACACTCCTGCGTCGAGATCATCCAGCACTCTGCTAGGCGGCCAGTGTTGAGTCTCCTCTTCCCGGTGCACAACATGTGCGCCCTGTGACAGCTCCTCTTCCCCCGGATCCGCTGCACTCTTGCTCTGAAAATCGATGGATGCACCCTCCGAAGCATAACGTTCATACTCGCTAGGCCTGGTCTCCAACACCCCTGCAGCGGGCCCCTCCAGCACTTTGCGCTCGCCTGCGTCTTGAAACAAAGCCCTCGCAGGCAAGTGCGAATCACGTCGAAATTTTTCTTCTCCGACAATTTCCAATACATATCACGTTTGGGATCCCATTTCCAATACTCGTGTCTTCACGAACTCGCAAAGGTAATCGATCATCTTCGCCTCGTCCTCTAACGCAACGACATTCCGACCACTGCGGAGGAGCTCCCACACGACAGACGCGTGCGCCTTCCCGAAGAAAAAAACAGTTTGCCCAACTCTGCAAAAGTTATCCAGCAGACCAATTAGATGAGCTGGGTTGCGCTCCCTGTCCCCGTAAGTAGCTCCTCGAACACTTGTCACACCGCCGTCCTCCCACTGGCTACGAGGGGACTCGTCCTCGTCTGCCACGTCGAAACAGGCCACAGCCTGTCCTGACGGGTCGGATGAGCAGGCAACTTTCGAGCGGGCCGCCGTCGCGGGTTTGGCCGGACTTGGAGCATTGGCACGGGGAGGCTTCGATGGACTACTGGCCGGGAAGACTGCAACCGTGTTGTCTGCCAAGTTGTCGCCATTGAAAACCATATACAGACGATCATACTCCTCGACCAGCATATTGCCTTCTCGAACAGTGGACTTTCTTTGCGCATGGCGCACCCACTTCCATGTCCTGACGTGATGAACGCTAAGTTTGGCAATGTTTTTCAAGAAACTGAGCTCCCAACGAGAGGGGAAGAAGACGACAAGTGCCCAGTGCCTTGGCGATAGGGTTTGGAGAACGCCTTGCAAGGAGGCAAAATTGTCTTCTTGCCAATTTGAGAGGAGTGTGGGATCACACAAATCGAGGACGTACAAGTTGCACACGTAATGTCGCACACTCTCGTGGATCTCACTGAGACGAGTGTGAGCCTGGGAAGCTGGACAACTGAAAGGAATAAGTCTGGTCACCCGATTGATCTTGTGCCATTTGATGTGTCTCACATCCCCGCTGACCCTGATCGTGTCTTGCACCTCTTCCTCCGTCCGTCGCAAGATGGAGCGGACGAACTTCTCGAAAGATTTAGGGAACCTCTCATCATCGTACATTTTCTTCGTTTCGTCGAGGGACTCCTCGTACGGAAGACAACGTTTGCAAGTGTTCACATACTCCACCGCGCCTTGGAAATGCTTCCGCAGTTCGACCCACACCTGATTCGTGAAGCCCCACGGCGCGAACTCCACCAGAAGTTGTTCCTCGGTCCGAAAAAACTGGCTCCCATACCGCCAAACCTCTGCGTCCTCCTCGTCTTCGAGGAACAAGATGTAGTGAAACATGCGGAGCATCATGCGGTCCACTTTCCTCGTCGCGACCATGTCTTTAATTCCGGGCTTATGCTGACGTTTTAGATACCCGCCCGCCGATTGCACGAACACTCCCCTCAGCGGGAGAATCTCGTTGAGGATCGACAGTTTTTCAGCATCCGGCATGTTAGCGAGAGACTGCAAACAGAACATGCCTGGCTCCTTCACGACGACGAAAAAATTGTCGTCCAATTGCGTTTTCTTTTTGGTCGGAGGCGGTGGGACCCGGACCAGCCACCCCATCTTCGTTTCACCAGCCGCCCCTTTCGCACCCATTTCTGGAATCGCTTGAAGACCCGGAGATTTGTCTGGCATGTATTTGCCCGACTTCGACAAGGGCGTCTTCCCGTCTCTGACCAATAAAATTCCCTCGGCCCATTTGTCGTAGAACTTCATGCCTTTGCGGAAAACCTCATCCCCGGCCGTCACGAGCGGCATCCATTGCCTCAATGCATTGCCAATGGGAGCGACGTGGTCCTTGTCGGCGAGCGTTGTCGCTTTAGGTGCCATAGTCCAGTGAGCGTCGTTAAGACTCTTTCCCAAAAGCAGCTTTTGGAAGTCGAAAAATGCTTGTTTTTCGGTCTCCTTACCAAAAGGGTTCCTTGAATTGCCACCGGCCTTCCTTGATTCTCCCATGCCTCCCGCATGTCCTCGAAAGCGGCCTTCTGCGTACGCTGCTTAGACATCTTGTGTTTTGTGTTCTCCGTGAGACTGACCTGTAAATACCCCCCCAAACTCTTTGTCGAAGAACCATACGACTCTCGCCGGCCACGAGTGCATCTTCCACAATTCGAATATTGGCTCATTGGCCAACTCCTTCACAGCAGCCACGATGTGTTGTCTGTTGACGGGCTAATAGAAGTACTTGTCCTTGTCCTTTGGCTTGAAGACATCCTTGTGAACCCTCTCAGCTCTCTCCGGCTTATGCGTCACCGACTTATAGATGGGTGCCAGAACCAAAGGGTTTTTCGTCCAGATCTTCCCCTTTTCCTCGTGGAACTGCCTTAGCATCGCACCCTTGATGTCCTCCATACCATCGCGAGTGAGACTGTGGTGATTGTAATATATTTTCCATGGCGGGATGTCGCAGACCTTCCTGGGGTCGATGAGCAGTTGAATGGGGAGCTCATTCTCCACGATCTCACCGTTATCGTTCTGCTCGTATTCGAGCCAAAACGCTGCCGCTTCGTCGTACTGCCTACCGACCGCCCTTTCGCCACCACTCGTCTCCAAGGTTTCTTCTGGCCATCACCTTCTTCAGCTGCCAGTTTCCTTTTGGATTTCTCTGAAGGTTCTCTCGCGGCGGCAATACCTAGACGAACCGAATCTCCTTCACCCATAGCTTGTCCTTCGCAGATGATCAAACCGTCGGGCCTCTTCGCTTTCTTACTTGTTGTTGCACCCTCTTGCTTCGACTACCTCTTTTTGACTCCTTGTTCTTGTGCGCCATGCATCCCTGGCGTCCTCTTTACCGAGGCACGTTCTTCGACGTCACCTTCATCCCCGTCAATCATCGGCTGCAAGTGTCCTTTTATCCTTTTTATGCGCTGGGTTTGTTCCGCCACCTCTTCTCGCACCGTCTTCTGTGTCGCTCGCGCATCTTCTCCGAAGAAGTCGACTCCCGCCAGAGCTGTCGCGCAAAGCGCCCATCCCGTGAACCTCATTCCCTCCAACCTCTTTCCCTAAACTGTCGGATTCTCTTCTTGCCTCATCTCAAAACGAATACGACTCACCCTGGCAGACGACCTTGAGGATTTTCGGAGTACCGACCCTGTGAGTCCCTGCATCTGGAGAATGCAAGCCAGACGTGTTCCCAGGAGTATCCGGGCCGACCTGCGTCTGAATGCTGCGCGTGTGCCCCTTGCCCTGACCCTCAGTGTCGTGAATCACACTCCCGTGCCCCACTGTCGTCACAGGGGTTTCTTGAGCCAAGCTGGACGACCCTTCATGGGCTGGGAGAAGCCGGAAAACATATTCTCGCGGAAGAATCGGACGCTCTTTCGGCACCTTCAACGCAAGATCGAGATATTTCATTGGCAGTGGAAGACGCCTGCTTTTGCCATCGTAAAACCCTTTGAAGTGACGGCAAAGTAGCATGTTCGAGCCGTACCCCGCGAAACTCAAGATCGGCACTATCGCACCCTTAACACCTTTGTAAGCCAGTTTGCAGTGGTCGTCGAAGATGATAGTGTGCAGCTTCAGCAAGCCTCCAGACTGTTTGCTGAACGAAACGATGGTACCGAGAGGATGAACGTCGGCTGCTCCCTCAACTTCTGGAAAGCAAGCAGGTCGCATGAAAACAACTGGCCCAACAAGGCTCCCCTCAACAACGAAGTCCAAAAACCATTGTGCATCCCTCGTATGGAAATACTAAGGAGTAGATTGCTGAAGAGGTCGTCCCTCCCCAAGGGCAACGGCCCAGCGCTTGTTGATGTGTTCTTTGCGGATGCCATTTTACTCCCAACTCGAGACCAATACGCCCGAGCCTTGACTAAACCGGTTGACCCGGAGAAAGTCACAAGGGTTTCCTAAGAGTACAAGTGCAAAGTGCAAACTAACTCGGAGTTGTGGGAACGAAGACAATACTACTGTGGCGGAGTGAGTTGGGAGGAAAGATAACAACTCATTTGGGACAGAGTGCGAAACAACTCGCAATCCTGTAGATGAAGAAAGAGGCGGCTTATCTTGGTGAAAATGCGAACTAACTCGGAGTTGTGGAAATAAAGACCTCTACAACACGTACCGCATGGTCACCGACAAGTGCGAACTAACTCGCAATTATGGAGAAAAGACAACAATTTCAACTCGCAGTTCCGGAAACAAGGAACTCACGTGCCAGAAAGACGCGGCTTATCTTGAAGAAAGTGCAAACTAACTCTAAGTTGTCGAAATGAAGACTTGAAACACGTACAACACGCATGTCGAAAAAGTGCGAACTAACTAAGAGTTTTGGATACGAAGGGCAACCACTCGCAGTTCTGGAAATGAAGACCCTACTTACAGGAAAGAGCCTACTTTCAAGAAAGAGGAGTCTTGTCTTCTGGAAATGAAGAGCCTGCTTTAAGGAAAGAGACGTCTAATCCGGAATTTTGGAAACGAAGACCTAAAACATATCCCACTAGGTGTCGAGAAAATGCGAACTAACTCGGAGTTCTGGATACAAAGGGCGACAGCTCCTACAACACTGTGGGACGCAAAGTGCGAACTAACTCGGTCGTATAGGAGCGGCACGGAAGATCAGAAACTGTGGATTAATTCGGCCTTGTAGAAGCAGCACGGACGAGTGCCTGTACATATATATATACATATATATATATTTAACAAAAACTGCGAATTAATTCGACCTTATAGAGAGAGAGAGAGAGTCGTGTACCTGTATATGTATATACGTGTCTATATATATATAGATATCCCAGGTCGGCGACCTCACAAGGGACACATGAACGAAAATCGGGAATTGATTCGTCGTTCAACAAGGGCACTGACGAGTGTGTGCTGCTATATATACATATATACCTGTCTCTTATACACATCTAGATGTGTATAAGAGACAGGTATATACGTGTCTATATATATATAGATATCCCAGGTCGGCGACCTCACAAGGGACACATGAACGAAAATCGGGAATTGATTCGTCGTTCAACAAGGGCACTGACGAGTGTGTGCTGCTATATATACATATATACAAACAATATCCTGACAACTTTGTAGCTTGCATGTTCAGCTTCGGCAAAAGGAAATCGAGCTACGAAGCGCGGATCGGCTATGGTGGACGGAGGTGGAGGGTGAAGAAAAGATCATATCAGAACGCAGGCCATGGCGATAACGCGACTTGACCTGTGGAGCTGCGAAACAACAAAATCGGGAATTGATTCGGGCTTCAACATGCAGCGAAGACAGGTCATCTGGGAATTTGTTCGAACATCGGACACAGTTGGGACAGTTGAAATAGCATTTCACCTTCGTAAAACGTTCTGTGAACGACGAACGTCGGACGGATATGGACGTACGACGAGCGAACTCGCTATGGCCGAGGGAAATCGAGTTACGAAAAGCGAAATGGCTATGGCGAATGGAAGTCACGCTACAAAGACTGAACCGGCTATGGCGGAAGGACGTGGTGGGTGAAGACAAGATATCCATACGCGTGTGGTAGCAATAGCGCGACTTGACCTGTGGAGCTGGTAGAAAAGGGATACAATGAGGGCGGCAATGCCTTTTATACTTTTCCGCCCAGAGGAACTCTCCAGCAGCAGGCCTTGCGTCGGGACCAAGGAGGGTGCGGAGACGCCGTTTCGATTCGGCGATTGTTCGCATATCGCATGCCAGGGCCAATAGGATGTCAAGGCCTATAAGACGCTAGGGCCTATAAAACGGTAAGGACAGGTCGGGACTCGAAAGGTCAGAGGTACCGTAAATTGCTGCTCGTCGATCTACGAAATTCAACGGCGCAGATCAACGAAGCCACTGGCATGTCAGAGACCCCAAATTCTCCGCCAACTCCGGCGTGCATTGATATGACCTTTCCAGAAAGTTAGGGACAGTCTAGGTCATTTTCGTTGTCGTAGTCTCGGCCGTCGATTGTCACGATCCGACGTACAAAGTGGAGCTTCAATAGCCCCCCCGAGGTCAGGCGCAGTAATCGCACCGCAACCGTTCGTTGTGCGCCGAGGCGCGACGGTCCATTGCGCGCCGAGGCACAATTCCAAACGGTCCAGAAACCCCAGCGTGGCGGTTCGTTGCGCGCCAAGGTCAGCACTGGAAACGGGCAAAATATGGTCTGGCAGACATTGCGACATTTTGCAAATGTCAACGGTGTTGGATAGTGAACGTCCACAATCGCTCCATTTTGAACCAACGCTGCGCTTTTGAACGGAATCGCATCCATTCCCGCGCTCACCATCGCCACATTTGTCGATGCACTTAACTCATCACCATCGTAGCGCATAGCTATATCCTCCATCGCAGCGCTGGCAATCGCTATCGCTATCGCCACCATCGCAGCGCTCGCCATGGCTATTGATATCATCGCAGCGCTGGCCATCATTATCCATTCCGTTGTCGCGGCATCTCTCTCCATCGCTGTCCCTGCCATCGCAGCGCTGGCCATCGCTATCGCTGTCATCGCCGAGCTGGGACATATCCTGCGCCATCTGTCTCCATCGCTGCGCCATGTTTCTCCATCACGGACTCTCTCCATCTCTGCGCGATCTCTCTCCGTCACTCCTGAGCGATCTCTCTCCATCACTGCGTCATCTCTCTCTATCGCTCTTGCCCAATCTCTCTCTATCGCTGCGCCATCTTTCTCCATCAAGGACTCTCTTCATCTCTAAGCGATCTCTCTCCGTCACTCTTGCACGATCTCTCTCCATCGCTGCGCCGTCTGTCTCCATCGCTCTTGTGTGATCTCGCTGGACCCTCTGCGTGTTCCCTATCCATCTCCGACCATCTTTCTCCATCGCGGACTCTCTCCACAGCGGTGCCATCTCTCTCCATAGCTCCTGCTTGATCTCGTCTCCATCGCTGCTGGATTTCTCATCGCAGCGAATTCCCTCTCCATCGCCATTGTATTATCGTTGTAGTCCGTCGTCGGTGCAATCGCCCATCATTGTGGAATCGCACGAAACAAGCGTCAGGTATGCGTAATGAAGGATTAACATGACGGATATAACTTTGATTAAGCTAATTTTGAACTGCTGTCGGATGCATTATATTTAAAACATTAGTTAGTCTTTAAATGATGTTATCTAGGTC